TGTGAGATTATGGAGTTTTCATTGTGTCTTCTGACTGCTAGTTGGTGTTCATGGATGCGCTCTGCTAGCCTTCTGTTGTTTGTCCTACCTCGTGGTCCTACATAGTGAACACTGTCAGGAAAAACACATTTATCATTTGTGCCTCATCTAGAGTTCAGCAGAAGTTTACCAAGGATAGTTAAGCTTTATATTCCAGATTTCTCTGTCTCACGTTTTGCCATGCAGTTCTGTAATTTTTGTCAAAAAATGTCAGTGTCTGGTATCAGAACAAAACATTTACATCTTGGGATCTAAATCTGAGATCAACAATTGACAGGCTGCTCCTGCATTGTTCAAGGAGAGTGTTCATCTGTTTGTAGAATTTAAAGTGGTTAGTACAACACTTATTAAATGCTGTTGCAAACTACTACCCACCTGGTATCAACTGATGCTGTCTGACATAGCACATACCTTCTTTTACATCGTACTAACATGTCAGACAAATGAGATAGGGAACAATCCTCTTCTTATCATACTACATCATGTGTTTTGCTTAAATTAGTAGAAAGAGAAGTATGTTGAGGAGGAGTAGAATTAGTAGAAGAAGAATTTTGAAATCTATGGAATTAGTAGATGGAGAAGAATTTTTAGAGGTAGTAGAATTAATAGATGGAGAAGAATTTTGTGAACTATAGAATTAGTAGATGAAGAAGAATTCTTTGGTCTGGTAGAATTAATAGATGGAGAAAAAATTTAAAGATTACAGTAACCCCCAGTCACAAGGAATTTATGCTTATTCATCTATTGCATATGCATGAATCCAGTGAAAGTTAAGCAGCTTAATTGTGGGCAATGCTGGAGTCATAAACAGCAGGATTTCCAAGGAGCCGCAACAGAACTTGAACATCTACTGTGATTCCTAACTAAAAAGAACATCTCAAGGAGGGGGAAGTGAATTTTGAGTTTATCCTATTGTTGTCCCTGTGGATTCTGTGTAGATTAAATGTACCAGGTAGAAAAACAACAGAGGTTCTCTCCCACCTTATTGCCAGATACCTGGGCCAATGCCAGGCAAGTTCTTATAAGCAAATGATGGATTAAGTTGAATTCTTAAGTAACTTAGCTAAACTTAGCCTTTATTATATAGCAAATACTTTGATCAATCAAATCTTTATTATGGTCACAGACCAGAAAAAGGAGGGTGGGGTATAGTCAATTAAAAAGCATAGAAGATACACTGGAATTTAAAAGAAAAAAAAATATGAAAAGCTAAAAGTTATAAAACAGAAAGTATATATATAAAAACAAGAGTCTAAAAGAATCTAAAAGGAGGGGTAGGAGCATTAGATGGGCATAGGGAGGATAAAGGTTAGTGCATGGCAGAATATATCAAATTACAGAGCACTCTAGTATGACAAACTAGATACTCATTAAGTATAGTTTATGGCACAGGTCCGATGAATTTTAAGCACTGCTGTGCAGAATCTGGCAACATTATATGTTGTAGCAGGGTTGGTATCTGAAAGCAGCAGGGAGGTGTAGAACTATCCTGTGAGCCCTGGGTATTTATGCAGTAATGCAAATACTTTGAGGTATGTCACAGTGTGTTCTTCTTTCATCTCTTCCTTTCTAATGTTATATATAACTTTAACTGAAAAAAAAAAAAGAAACCAAATAAGTATAACGCCCGTAACACTGATATCCGAAATTGGGATTAATATTGTTAGAATATATGCTTTTTTTCTTTTTTTTTCTTCCAATACTTTAAGGAAGTGTTTCTCAACCTTGGGAACTTTAAGAGGTGTGGACCTCAACTCCCAGAATTTCCCTTCGCTGCCTGTCGTTTTTGGGTTTTTGGTTGGATAGGGTTGCTTCACATTTGTTGTCCCAAGTTCAGCATGACCTCCT